TAAGTTATATTGGGTTATATTGGGGTCTATACGACGCGGACCTACATAAACATTGTTTGTCATAAAGCATTACCATATTCAAATTCGAAACTTAAAATAAACGGGGCCTATACGAAGACGTGGACCTGCAAAGACAATTTACTGTCACAGACTGTAGTTCCCATTACGAACTTTAAATACGTAATTTGAAACTACTCTGGTGAATAATGACCATTAATGGGGGCTATAGGAAGACGTGGACCTGCACAGACAATTTTCTCTCACAGGCCGTAGTATCCATTACGAACTTCAAATTCCAATTTGAAACAAATCCTGTGAATAATGTCGCTAAAATCATCAAAATACTGAATATCGGGAGGTACCGTTTTATGGGGGCTATATGAAAACGTGGACCTACATGACCCATTTACGAACCTGCCTACTGGCAAAATAAACATGTGTGCAAAATTTTAGCCTTCTATCTCCATTCGTTCGAAAAATTAAATCGACTTAGAATTTTACGCTGATCAAGAATATATATACTTTCTTGGGTCTGACATGAGTATTTCGAGGAGTTACAAACGGAATGACAAAGTTAATATACCCTTCATAGTATGGTGGAGGGTATAAAAAATTGCTAAGAAAACGTTTTGCTAATTTCCTTTTTATTTTGGTTAATTTAAAACAACAAAATATTAAATATTTCGTTTTTGAGTTTTGAATTGTTAAAACAAAGTACATATGTTTACGATTTATGTGTTGTTTTAAATATACTAGCTATACTATTTTGCATATCTGTCAAAGCATAATTATTCACAGATATGACTGGTATAAGTGTTCACGTACTGTTCGATTAAAAGTGTTTTAAAATACCTGTACCCATATTTAAGCCGTGGGCTTCAAATGTGTGGATATGCTATACAAATCTGCTAAAAAGTATATATCAATTTTTAGTATGGTAAAAATCGTAGCAAAATTTTCCAGTCAAAAAGCAGTAATTTAGAATTTACTGTATTTTGTACACCACATAATTGAGGGCTGAATGAATTAATTAAGAATAGCCAAAGTTAATTACTTTTTTCAACCCATTAGCACCTCAGATTGTGCATTTAAGCCCTCATAAGTCCCCCTAATCATGTCGATCTGTTTGCCCGCCAAAAGGTTGAAATTTTTGTGTAAGATTTTCACCCACCAAATACACATTTTTAGCCAAATCCTTTGAAATATGGTAAAATCAGGAGGTACCTTTATATGGACACTACTCCGAAACATCGACATACATTGAAAACTTTTTTCTACCCCTTATAATCCAAGATGACAAACAGAGGCCAAATCAAAAATATAGCAGAACAACATAGCATGTTATAGCATTTAGCGTGATTTAAATGAGTAAAAATAGTTTTATCCACCTCATAATTGAGCGCAGAATGATTTTAGAATAGTCAAATATAATTACTATTTTACACCCATTACCGTAAAATGGGAATTAATTTTATTTGCCATTTAAATTTTAAGTTGGAGACCCCATAAAGTCCATATTTTTCATCATAGTATAATTAAATGACGATTCAACAATTATTCGGTCCAGTGCTACTTTCTTATATTTGTAATTTGTTCATGTTTCCACAATTTATTTCATATAGATGTGCATCCCAAATCTACGTTCCCAACCAATATTCTCTTGGGGGTTACAAATTCAATAGAATACAAAATATTCTTTTCTGACCATACATTAGATGTGAAAGTGGACTTGGGGATACTCCAATGTGGGGACTTTACTTAAATAAATTCCCATGTGACAATTATCTGTATGATGGTTCCCTACCCCAGGGTAGCATAAATACAATTTTTCAGCCAAATCAATTGGTGAATGTGGTCAAGACCAATATGGACCCTACTCTGAAAATTTCAAAAATGCCAAAATAAGGGCCAAAAAAATGAAAAAAGTGGCCAAGACCCCAAAAATATTTTAAATCATACGATGGTTATATAAATATGAAATCGGGTTGCACCCTTATCGGTGAGTCATGATCGATATCATGACGCACCCTTTATCTTTGGTATTTTACTGATTGTACACCCAAGGAAATTTGCATTTTGAGCTCTCATTGGACGGATTATTATCACATGAAAGAAGTAGGTCCACGCTTTGAAATGAGCCTATTAGGCTTTTTCGGTCATTTTTGTTTGTTCAAATGTGTTCGCATTTTCCAGCTGAAGCACGATGTAGGCCCTGAAGTTGAAAGGTAGATGTCAGCTAACATCGTATTTCACATTTATTTCATTTTTTTGGTGAAAAATTGTATATAGTGAAAAATTATTCTTTATTTTGTTCACAAAAAATCCACTGAATTCAATATGATAATTCAAATTGAAAAAAATTGACAAAAGAAGAATAACAAATTGAAAAAATCTTCAACTTGTTCGCTGATTTTTTACAGCAAATGTTTAAAGATCCTTAAAAAGTTTGTCAATAGAATGTACTATTATTTTAAAATTTGATTCCATTGAAAATTTTTTTCGAGATTTTTTTCGTGATTTTTTAGCGATTTTGAAAAAGTAATTATCTTTTAACTTTGGTGTGACCGCGTTAAATTATTTCGATATCATCTATTCCGTATTCAGTTCTCAAGAAATCAAGTCAATGAAATAAAATGGTATTAATATTCGAATTCAAAAATAAAATATAAAAAACACTACAATTGTACATTAGAAAAAAGTAAGTCAAAATGGAAAAAAATCATGCAAAATAAAACATTACTATTGTACATTTCAAAAGTCAAATTAAAAATGTTAATATATCACATTTTTAAGCGATTTTTTTGTATATTATCCTTTTCGGGCAGGAGACAATTCCGAATTTGTATGAATCGTTAAAATCAGTCCAGCGGTTCTTAAGTTATAAGCGTAGTGACTAACACAACTTTCTTTCATACATATAGATATTTTTGACATAAACAAAAACCTCCCTTCAGGCTTTGTCGTTGATAGTTGTTAGATTGACGCATTGCAATATTACTCCTATTGTTTAAAGGATGGTGGCGCCCTAACGGGAACGCGAAATTCGATCCTGTCGACAAAGCTTCACAGAAACCTTGCGACACAAAACCGAATTTGGACCATAAATTTGATCAACAGATTGTACCGGATTACCTTAAAGTAACGGTCATTGATCAAAATCGGCGAAGATCATTGGCTGCTGATCGACGGGAAGATCCAGTACATCTTCTTGTCGGTCCATCTACCAGCGACATTTACGTATTGGTCAAGCTGCAATCTATTTAGGCGCCAGGAAAATTAATTTACTGACTTGTGTCCCTTTGGGAAGGCAGCAAGGTCGCCGCCGTGCCTGTGTCGGAGATCCCATGGTGAATTTTGGCTTCAGTGTGAATTCCTCCTCCTATAATGAAGTTAAAGGAGATCCGGAACCTTGTTGAGAAACAGCACAGGAAATTGGCGTGAGCTAAATATGTTTACTAAGATTGACGGGATGTTTCTAAAAGTAGCAACAGATCATTAAATTCTTAATTTTATTTGAGTTTTAATATATTGAACTTCAGTGACTTATTTCTAAAAAAAATCGTTGCTACACTTTCGATTGCACTCTCACAATTTTCTTCCATTTCATATATTATAAAAGCCAAAATAAACTACACCGAATTGATAGAATGGTTGAATACTCAATGATACTGACTGAGTACACAGTTGTATTTGCTCATTTCAATTCACGTTTTCGATCAACTCATGTTGCTGAAACCATCAAACGGTCTCAAACACTCATGTGAAGTGATTCAAACTGAGTGTTCGATTCAATTCGATGCGGAAACGAAATGGAATATAATTGAATTATTCATACTCATCACACGCGACTGGCGAAATCCAGCTAACCCTCTCGGCGTCAAATATAGACATCGCCTTGATCCAGGAATCCAATTTTTTCTACAATAAAGTTTATGGTCTGAATGGTTTTCGCTCCCACAAATGGGTACGAGGTGAGGACGAGTTTAGTTGCGTGAAGAAACTTAAATCTAATGATAATTATTATTCTTTCCAATTTCAGTAAAGGAGACATTACCACCATAAAGCTGACTGGAGGTGGTAGTAGTACTAAACCACTCAATCTACACCACACAAAGATGTCCTGAACCTACTTAAGGAAATGGGCAGTACATGCGACAATATCCTATGATGTGACGCAAACGCCCATCCTTTTTACTGGGGAAGAAGTGACAAGAATGTTAGTAAGTATTCAACTTTATTCTCAACAATATGCTTAGAATATGTAATAACACTCCAACATTTCAGAACAGTGTAAAATGGAGCACTCCCAAATATAGACGACTCTGTTGCTCTTTCTCAGGCCACAAGAGGATATTCGTTCAGGTGGCTAAATGGGGTGTCAGAGCAATATCTTGGAAACACAAGAAGGACAGATTGGGGCAAATTCAAATTCCATTCGTCAGAGTGGAAACAGGTGGAAGTGAGCAATCATAACTTCGCGCAGTGGAAGGTATCCCAAGATTTTATGGGCGATCAACACTTTTCAACCATTCAAGTCTCCTGGTCCTGATGACATTATTCCAGCAATGTTACAAAATGTATCTGATTTGGTATTGGCTATCTTGCTGGATTTTTAAGTCTTGAACAAAGTCATGCATTACCCAAAATATAGTCGACAAAGATTGGCGGAATACGCACACTAAGCATCTCTATCCCTGCAGTTCCACACTTGTCTGATACCCCCATACATTCCATGCCACAAGAGATGAAGCGAGATAGGACCGTATTGAACAGAAAGTTGTAAGAGGAACGCTAACACCATCACTTTTTGTGGGATCCTTCCTCAATACGTTATAACGATAACAACGTGCAATTTTCATTAATTCCATAAATTCCACTATGTCATATATTTTACCTGATATATGCAAAACATATCCAGATTTAAAAAAAAAAATACCTGAGATATGCGTCAAGATGATAAGACGTGTTAATGACGAAGAAGGCATTCAAAAACTCGTTACTGAAGTTTTTATGAAAATTTATTATTATTTAGTAGTTTCTGTAGAAATATAGGACGCATTTTCCAAAGTACCTCCATATCATAACCACAGATACCAACAAAATATCTCAACAGAGACCTAAAAAACAAATTTCGGGATTCCATGCTTGTTCATTCGAATAATAGCAAATTTAGGATCATTTAGTAGGTTTTGAGCAAATATCTTAAATATCTATATCGTCATATATTAAACACCGACACCAACAGAGACCTAAAAATCATTGCTTCAACCAATACAAGATTTGGTGTCATTTAGTAGTTTTTGTACAAATACAGGACTCATTACAAAAACCACCTCCGTATTTTAACGCATGACAACATCAGACACCTAAATAACAAATATAGGGATTTCAGCCGAATTTCTTTATCCAATACCAAGTGTGGCAGTTGGTAGTTTTTGTACAAATATAGGACGCATTTCCAAAACCACCTCCACATCGTAATCACAGACACCAACAGAGAACTAAATAAACAATTTCGTGATTCCAGCCTTATTTCTACACCCAGTACCAAATATAGCGTTGTTTAGTAGTTAGTAGTTTCTTTACAAATGTAGGACGCATTTTCAAAAGTACCTCCATATTTTAAATGCTAAAAATAAAAGAGATATTAATAACAAATATCGGGATTTCAGTCTTATTCTTACACACAATACCAATTTTAGTATTATCAAGTAGTATTCGTACAAATATAGGGTACATTTGCAAAACCACTTCCATATCTTAACCACAGACACCAAGAGAGACCTAACCAACGAATTTCGGGATTTCAGCCTTATTTCATCACCCAATACCAAATTTAGTGTTATTTAGTAGTTAGTAGTATCTGTACAAATATAGGACGCATTTTCAAAAGTAAGTATGTAATAAAGGAGATAAGGTAATACATAATTTATTATTTACACAAACATTTTTGGGGCCAGGATTGACATTGTGTATTTTGCCAGTAGGCAGGTTAAGTTCCGTATTTTGATGATTTTAGCGACATTATAGCGTAACGTTTGGCCTTTAATAGTGTTGAATATATGATTTGATTTTTTTACACAGTTCTCATAGCGGCCAGCACGTGCTTGACGATTAGGTGTAGCTCGTCCGAATGGGTGTAAATTCTTACTAATTGACTATGAAAAAAGCGTAGCATATTTTATCTGTTTTCGTGGCTTAAAATTGGTTAACGGGAGAATATGTACATTTCCGAGCCCTTCCCTACCAAGTTATGAATAAATTCTTAATGTAGTCTTCATAACGCTATGATATGGAATTTTGTGTAGAAATGTTTCAGAATTCCTTTTGGAATTGAAAATTCTTATTGAAAAAAAACGAAAAATCGAGTTATATGGTTGCCATACCCAAATTTTCAATTTTGATTAGATATGGAAATAATCAATCCACTGAGAACTCAAAATGCAAAATTCCTCAATACGTTATAACCATAACAACGTTGTATTTTACCCCGGACTCCGTTGCAATTAAATTGCCAGAACGGTGCACAACCCGGAGTTGGAACAGCAACATGTGTAAGACGCTGCGGTATAGGTTATTATTCGGGAGGCCATAGTTCGATACTCCGACGAAGAAACAGAGGAGAACGACGAAGACGTTGACACGCTGGGCTGATAAGGTTTCTGTAGTCCGTCGCAATAAAATCCCTTTCGCTGTCTTAATATGGAACAATTTCTTTAGTGCGCCCTTTCTCTGCATCCATTACATCGCACCGAAACCGAATAGAAACAAGGTCCAGAGTTTTCTTCGATCCTGGCACGAACTAGAGGAATCCGGATCAGGCATTTCGGGATATGCTGCTTCCAAAGCAGAAAAATAAACAAACACGAACGTGTATATAAAGCCATCTGGCCAGTAATTTTGAGCAGAAGAACAAGCTTCCTTTTATCATTTTGTACGTCTGAACTAAGAGTCGTGGCAGGCATACTGATTAGCCACCGCAGTATCAGGTATCTGACATGAAGATGAAAACGCAGAGTTCCTGACTACTGTGAACTATGTCAGTATGAAGAAGTGGTAGAGACAATTAAACATCTGCTATGCAGATATCCCATGTTAGCCAAAAAGAGACGTAGGCTATTTAGCAGGCGAGCGATAGAAACTCTATCGTTCTTCACTGATCCCACCCTCAAGTGGTGCATCTCACAACCAATCTCCCACCACAAAGTGGAGAGTATATTAACTTTGTCTTTATGTTTACAACACATGGAAAATATTGGTCGGGGATTACATAAAGTACATACATTCGTGATCAGTTGACTTAACGATGTCCGCCCATTAACAATTTCTAACCAATTCAGCTGTAGGTTAAAATTCGAGTAGTTTAATTGCTCTCGAAAATATTTAACGTGGTACACTTTCTTCATAGAGCCACCCCTTCATATAACGGTACGGTATACTTTAACTTCTTTCAAAAATATTTAACGTAGTTCACTTTCTTGATAGACCCCCTCCTCCATTTAACGGTACCTTCTTCTTAAATTTGAATTTTCCGCTTCTCAACTTATTATTTGACTTCTGTCACAGAATATAGCCCACATATAATGGAACTTCAACATTTTAGGGATTTTTAAGATAGCCGAATTGACCAAAACTTAAGCTTTCACGTGGTGGAGAGGGAATGAAATGTTCAGTACAGTCAAACTCATCATTCAAAGTTCAATTATTTGTTATTTATTGCTTTTAACAAACTGTGATTTATTAACAATTTTAGACAACATTCGTGAATGTAATTATAGTTTTCGCCAGCGAACTAAACCAAACGAATAACGTACTGCTCACACGAAGTCACAAACATTAAAAATTCTTTCAATCGTTTTGTGCTCCAAACAAAACAAAACCACAAACATTCCAATGCCAGAAATGCACAAACAATACGATTGCTTTAATGTACTTCGGCTGTGAGTTGCCGAGCTGTATCGTTTTCAAACGAATGGCCGGGTAACGCTTGCAAACCTTTGCTGTGCGAAATTATGACTGCTATATTTATAGTTGCCAGTGGAAGTATTGTTTGTACATTTTCCATTCTATGATGAAGATAATATTGGTTTTTTCATTATTTGTAATGAATTAATATAAAGGGAAATGTTTGGATACGTTTCCAATGAGTTTTGAACTGTTTAAATGTTGCGTCATCCAGCTGAGTACATTTCAGTTTTGTTTTTGTTTTCACTCATCTACACAAATAGTGCAAAATAAAAAATAATATCGGGTTTCTTTCGTTTCGTTCTTCGAGAAAATAAAGAACGAAACGATTGCAAACGTTTGATATAGTTTATTTTCGTATGCTTGATTTCTCTTAAATAATAAATTTTGGATTTTGCTCAGCTTTGGTTTAGATTCACATTGAAACATCGATAACCGGAAAAATACTAGTATATTTCTCTTATTTTTGTCTCTATTAAATTACTGCTAGTTTGAGGCAGTCTTTGAGATTTACGCTGTGACGTCACAGCACCGCTTTCATCAGAAAGAACAAGTTAAAAAGCAGTAAGTTCGGCCTGGCCGAACTTTGAAAACCCTCCACCATTTGAATAAAATCCTTAAAATTTTAAAAATACCGAATATAGCCGTTATATTGGGGTCTATACGACGTGGACCTACATTAGCATTGTTTGTCATAAGCCATTACCATATTCAAATTCGAAATTTGAAATAAACGGTGAATAATGTAGCAAAAATCATCAAAATATCGTATATAGGGAGGTACCGTTATATCGGAGCTGTGCGAAGACCTGGACCAGAATAGACAATTTTCTGTCACAGGCTGTAGCATTCATTACGAAATTCAAATACGACATCTCAAACCATTTCGGTGGGTTTTGTACCTAAACTCGTCAAAATACCGAATATAGGGAGGTACTGATATATGGGGCCTATACGAAGACCTGGACCTGCATAAACAATTTTCTGTCAGAGACTGTAGTTCCCAATACGAACTTCAAATAACAAATTTTAAACAAATTCGGTGAATAATGCCGCTAAAATCATCAAAATACTGAATATCGGAAGGTTCCGTTATATGGGGGCTATACGAAGACGTGGACCTGTGCAGATAATTTTCTGTCTTAGATTGTAGTATCTATTTCGAACATCAAATACCAAATTTGAAACAAGTCCGGTGAATAATGTCGCTAAAATCATCAAAATACCGAATATCAGGAGGTACCGTTATATGGGGGCTATATGAAAACGTGGGCCTACATAGCCCATTTACGAACTTAACCTGCCTACTGGAAAAATAAACATGTGTGCAAAATTTTAGCCTTCTATCTTAATTCATTCGAAAGATAGCGTGATTACAACAGACAGACAGACGGACATCGCTAAATCGTCTTAGAATTTTACGCTGATCAAGAATATATATACTTTGTTGGGTCTGACGTGAGTACTTCGAGGAGTTACAAACGGAATGACAAAGTTAATATACCCTCCATGGTATGGTGGATTAATATACCCTCCATAGTAAGTAACAATGCTTGTCATTACATGTAATTTTCGTCCTAAGCCGTTGAACGTCATCGACGTTGGTAGAGCAAAAACATGCTGTCGAATATTATAATGGGCAGTGGTTAGTCTTCAAAGTCATTATGACTCCCAATGTTTCTTTTACAAACCCAAAATAATTTTGAAATGGTATAGTTAGGTCATTAAGTCACGAAGTAACTGAAGGTTTAAAGCACTCTATTGTTTTGTTTATATTTTATTGAAAAAATAGTGACCGCATTAACAAACGCAACAAAATTTATGAATATCTTTGTACAAATCTATATTGATTGTTGTTCGTTGGTAATGGAATCAGTTGAGAACGGCTGAACCGATTTGCATAATTTTTGTACAAACGTTCGTCATACCCCAAGTTAGGTTTTTAAAGAAAAAAATATTGACCACGCCTACTTTTATGCCCACTATTTCAATTTATCTGAAATCCTTATATTTGCCAAAATAATGAAGATATCGGTTTTAAAATTATTACACGACATACTGTTGACTTTCCCTCCAATCCTAAGTGTTTATTTGGGGGCTGAGGAACTGACCACGCCTACTTTTTAATCTACATATAAACCAATAGTTGTTCGTTGGTAACTGGTAATCAGTTGAGAACCATTTGGATATATTTTTTAAATGTTAGGACGAACATTTAGGTTAAGGTTTTTATGCAAAGAAAAAGTGACCACGCCCAATTTTGCGCCGATTTTTCGATTTATCTAAAATCCTTATATTTACCAAAACCATGAAGATATCTGTTCCACAGTTAGTATACGACGTAATCTTGATTCTCCTTACAACCCAGGTATCTGTTTGGGGTCAGAGGAACTAGCTACACCTACTTCTTTAAATTTATATTAAAAAAAAATTGAAAAAGTACAATAACATATCAGTTGAGAACGGCTGGACCGATTTGACTCAAACTTTCTTTTGGTTATTTGTAATTACAGTGGGAACGTTGTCATGAAAGAAAATTTTGAGAAAAATCGCGGGACTGAAAAAATTGACTGTTCTATTATGATATGGAGTTTTGTGTAGAATTGTTTCAGAATGCCTTTTGAAATTGAAAATACTTATTGAAAAAAACCAAAAAAATTGAGAAAGTTGCATATGTTCTATTCATGCTGTTATATGGTTGCCATACCCAAATTTTCGATTTTGATTAGACATGGAAATAATCCATCCCATGAGAATTAAAAATGCAAAATTCATTGGGAGTTCAATCAGTGAAATACCGAATACGAAGAGGCACTGTAATATGCGGACTATTCAAAATAGTGGAGTGAATTGAAAATATAGTAAGAAAAGGATTCATATACTCGGAAAATTCTTCCGAACCCTTAAGAGTAACCTTAAATCATAGGTAGCGTTATACGGGCACTATGCGCTATCGTCAGTAATTACACTGCACCGCAGACATGCTTGGGGTTAGGAAATTTTTGGGTTGGTAAATAAAAATCCCAAAAGGGGGGTTTTCGGAGTCCATTTTATATAGATTAACCATACACAAAGGGCCGCAAATATTTTGCCCCATACTCCGCAAAAGTTACGATAAAGTTTTCAATTTGATACAGTCCTAGGGGTTACATGAGGAATCATTTGTACAGAATGTGTATCATGTTGGTCTACATTGTGATATAGCCCCCCTCAAATGATATAGCCCCTTTAAAATTCCTCATATGTTGGTAATTTGAGATTTTATAAAGAAAAACAAATTCTTTCAAATAATTATAAATATAAGATCATGCTTCATTATAACTCGTACGTGAATGTATCCGGTGATTTTAGCAATTACCAGGCTCTTGCTCACATTTTTCAATTGATTTTGCCCTTAATTGGCATCTAGCTTCAGGTAGAAGACCTCTTTGCGGAAATTTTTCAATGTCAATGTTTCGGAGTAGAGCTCATATAAAAGTACCTCCTGATTTTTTACATATTTCGAGGGTTTTGATTATATTTTCGAATCGATTTGACCTAAAATGTGTGTTTAGGCTACTTTGGGGGTAGAGAACCATCTTACATGGGCCTATTATAAACAGTTAATGTATACTTTTTAATATATATGCTATAAGTTAACACAGTCTCCGTCGTCTCACCCTAATATCCCAGACGGAATGGTTGTTTATGAATATCCAACAGAATACAATGCAATAATCCACAGGAGTAGCAACATCAGCATTCTGACT